AACTTCATGCACCATGTCCCTGGCAGCTGACCTCAGAGGTGGGCTCCAGAGGCACAGGGGTTGGTGCAAATAGCAGCTTGTGTTTTCTTCCAAAACCTGAGAGGTCTTCTCAGCTTGTGGTGTGGTGCTTCATGGTTTTGAGTTTGTCCAGGAAAGTCTACAAGTCTCCAGAGCCAACTGTCACCTTATACCTAGGGGCATTTCCGCTTCCATTGCTGGAGTTAAATGATCATTTTAGCATTGTGCTCCTTAATAATTTACTGCTTGTGCATGTCATATGACACCCCTAAACCAGATTAAAACTTGGGAAGGCAGCCATGTTAATCTGTTTTGCTTCCCACCTTCTGATAACAGTGGTAGTTGTGAAAAGCAGTATTTAAGTAATGACTGCTATGAGCAGACAACTTGGAAAGGATCACCTAAGATTATCTATCTATCTATCTATCTATCTATCTATCTATCTATCTATCTATCTATCATTTATCTATCAATCAATCAATCAATCAATCAATATATTGTCCATCCATCATCCATCCATCCATCCATCCATCCATCCATCCATCTATCTATCTCAAGACAGGGTTTCTCTATGTAACAGTCGTGGCTGTCCTCGAACTGGCTTTGTAGACCAGGCTGGCCTAGAACCCACAGAAAACCACCTTCCTCTGCTTCCCGAGTGCTGGGATTAAAGGCTTGTACCACCACTGCCCATCCCTAAGGCCTTTCTAATACTAACACCTTTATGGTTGGAACAAATTTCCATTGACCAATGAGATGATTCCCATGAGTTTGTATATGTGAATTGGGCATTGGGAAAAGAACTCTAATTTGTCACTTCTAGGTTCTCACCTTGAGTTTCTAGAATGAGAATAAATTCTGCAGAGGATTTCTGAGTGTGGGATATTCAACACCTGCTATATTTAAGTTGAATAAACATTTCTGTGGCACTTCCTAATTCCTGTCAAGATTGGGCTATTATCAGACCTTGGCATCATAATCCCAAGACTCAGGAGGTCAAGGCAAAGGATTATCCCCAGGTTCCAGGCCAGCCTAGACTACAGAGTGAGACCTGTTTCAAAAACAAAGCCAACTACACTAGTAGCAAAAAGATTGTGTTAAGAGTGATGTTCTATGTGTGGGGAGGGGGGGATTCTGAATTGGGGGAGATTCTGAATTGATAGTCATAGAGCAGTTCTTTATGCTTTATGCTTTATGCTTTATGTAAGTCTGTGGCATTTAGTCCTCACGCAGTCCTCTAATGTAGATACTGCTGTTCTGGTTGATGGATGAAAACACTGAAGCCAATGGAAGTTCAGCTGGCTCCTTTGCACTATATTAACATATCTTAAGAGCAGTGGAGCACAGTTTCCAGTGACTACTACCACCACCTCTGCTTAGGTTCCTGGATTTTTTTTTATTCTTCTTGTCATTATTTTTCCATTTTTTATGAGAATGATTGACTGACAGACACTAGGTAGTTAAAATACTGGGATTCTACTATAGGAAATTTTGTGGGGTTTTTTTCATTTGTTTGTTTGTTTGTTTGGGTTTTTTGCACTTAGCATCAAGGAAGCATCTTACTGATTTTCTATGACTTTAAAACTACTCAAGAGATTCAAGTTTACAAAAATACAGTGAATGAGGACAATGTTAGATATATTTGGCTACTAACAGGCAATCAAGAATACAGCTCTTGGTTCAAGATGCTGAACAATCCAGAAACCTCAAACACTTCTAGGAAGGAGAAAGGATCATTTTTCTTTTTTCAGTTCTGCACCTTCTCTTTGTGCTTATTCATCATGTTTTAAATAAACAGACTGAAGAAAGTTGTTATTCAAACGCTCCTCCGGCTTCTTCAATTTCAGTCTGAAAACAAGTTCAAAATATTCTGGCAAAAATTAAAGGCACCATTCAAACGTTTCCATAAATTTTAAATTGTGTAAAAAGTGATAAAACTAAAATGAGCTAGAAAAATGGCTAATAAGCATTTCCTCATATCATAATCCATGGTTTTGGATTTCAAAAGGAGCGCTGTAATGCACCCTTGTTTTCCCAAGTGTCTGTACTACATCATTTCTGGATTTAATGTCTTCGGATTTTACTGTTTGATTTTAGAGTGTGAGGATATTAGTGTGTCAGTCAACGACATGCAGTGTCTTTAATATCTCAGTATTCATTCGTGGAAGGATGTAAAAAACAAAAAACACTGCCTACACACCATCTTCTGCTTTTACTACCCATTCCAGTTGAATAGACATTATTTTTAGGAGACAACCGAACCAATAGATTGCCAGAAACACAGGTAAAGTTGGAGGATGTGGGCTCCCCAGCAGTAAAGAACATGCTGCAGTCTACGTCTCAAAGAACCAGGGTGCCAGCACACTAGTAGTGTCACGTGACTGTACAGTATCTAGGCTAATGCAGTGTAGGATTGTGCCTTTTTCCTTCTCCTGTTTCCCCCAGAGAGTTTGAACCCATGTGTTAGAGTGTATATGCCTGATAGTGGAACCGACTTCAAAACGCATACAGCAAAAACTCATTCCTTTTTTATTATGTAGTGAAATAAATATAAAAAGATGTACAAATAACAGTTTTTATTTGAACATTAAGGTTTATTGTGATGTAGAATGTGTTTTGTTGCACTGTCATCTGATAGCTATTAAAGGTGGGGTTCAGGAGTGCTCTTCTGGCTTCAGGTATCAAAGAGAAGGTCTCAGAAGAGTTTTCTAGTGGATCTCTAAATCTGCACACAATATAACCATGATAACTAGGAAGTATTTATTACTTCTTTGCTCTCAAAACATCATTATCAGTATGTTTCTGCCAATGACCTCATTTCCTAGGCCACGAAGAAGAGGATTTGGTCAACTTGTTTTTTCAAGAAGGGGTAGAATAGAACTTGGGAGAGTGAGACAGGAGGATTATGAGTTTGAGTCCAGCTTGGCATACATACCAAGATTCTATGTCAATGAAGAGGAAAGAGAGAGAGAGAGAG